AAAAGTATTAAAAGAACTTGAAGAAATGATTGAAGAGAAAAAGCCAACCATTATAGAAGTATCAGAAGAATCTAAAAATGTGGGTGTTGAAATAGATGACTTAAATCCCGAGGAAACGGAAGTAGATGACTATAATTTATCAACTGAAAGTATGTATAATAATTTTTTAATATTATTGATTGATTTTAATTTACATAAATTATACTATATTAATTACTCTATTATTATCCATAAAAGTTAACTTTCTTAATATAAAACAGACCTAAACAAAGTACGTTTCTCTTTTATTATTTATAATTGTGACAGTCTCCGGTCTTTCTTAATCTATTGCTAATAAATTTTTAAGTTTTCTCAAGTATATGAAATAATCGACTTTTGGATATATATATTCTGATTAAACAGTAAGATATTTAAACTAATATTTATTTAATATGTATATATTATTCTAAGAAATGCACTAATGCTTTGAATTGTGTCAATTAAATTACAGTTTCGTATTAATATAGTACTTTTAAATAATACATTGTTGTCAATATTATTTAATAGGCTAAAGTTTATTTTTGTTTTTTAATGTTTACTTTTATTTATATTTATGTAGTATTTGATATATGTCATAAAGAACATCCCATCTCTCATTTACCGTATTATTCAAGTAATCCAAGCTTTTAGAGGATTATTGAGTAATGCTGGTATTTTGTGATGGCGGTGAATATTTTTAATAAATAAAATATTAAAGTTTTTAATTAAAGGCTATTAATTGACAAAGTGAAACATAAAAACTATCTTGCGTGCGCTATGTTTTGTAAGAATCAACGAAACTTCTATATAGGATGTAAAAATAAATACAAATTTGAATCTAACCACAGATAAATTTTCGAATTATACGCTTTCAGATCCTATCAACCAGTTAGGATGTAATAATAAAATTTACTATAGTAATGATTTTGTTTAGTTAAGTAATTTCGTAATATGAAATTAAAAAAATTGATTTTTCGAATTTCGTCATAACCGATAGCATTTCACATACAATCTCCATTTAAAGTTAAATTGAGAATTTATGACTGAAGAAATATTTCTTTTGATATTGTCGCTATTAAATCGTCGAGCATTCTAACGTTAAAGTCAAAATTGCAAAACTTTAACGTTAAAATGGTTCTTTTTATTCGTGATTTGTGCAACGATGATCAAAGATCGATGTAACTATATCGGTCTTGCCCCGAAGTGAAAATCTTTATCCTTAAATGGATATTAATGGCTGATCTAACCTTTTCTAAAAGTCAGCCGGTTTGCTTTTGTTACTTTATGAGGAAATTACTAATTTAAATTTTAATATATAAATATCGCATGTGAATTCCTCTCTCTGTCCAGTTACTTTTGAATTATCAAACAAAATGAACTCGACGCGAAGTACCCAAAAAATAACTGATAATGTTGAACCAAAAAATGAATTCCTTAAACACGGAGATATTAAGTCTTATTTCAAACCATGGAGCAATAAATACAAATTACACACCTTCTCATTAGACCACGCGAAAAGTTCGGAATCCAATCCGACTACCATAATCTGGGAACCTTCCACTTCACATGGATTGGCCTCAGCGATCATTCATGCTTACACCCTTCACCAACATCTTCGATTCTCACCAGACGACGTGTGGTTAACTATCGCACAAGGAGTTAGTAATCACATTTGGATTAATTCCGAAAGGTTTCGTTACCTGTTCGTCGATCATGAAGGTCAGGAAGAAGTCCTTATAGATGCTCGTGACATTATAGGACATGTCAACGGAAATTTCTTAGGTGATTGGCCGAAAGCGATCGCTCGACTTTCAGATTCTACCGATCAACGAGTTAAAAAAGTTGGTTTAAAACAACTTCTCGAATGTGATTTCTCCACCTCAACAAGTGCATCCATCACCGCTAGTCAAATTATATTGTTGGATTCGATGAAAAAGTATTTCACCTACGGAATGCGTGGTGGTTGTGGTATACCAAAGGTTACACTTGATGGTACCTTAGAAGATTGGTTACATCTTCAAGAAAAGGTCGCAAAACTTCGTGGGTTAGGATTGAACCTTGATTTTTGGTTGGACAGACTGGAACCGGTGGTGGCCCAATTCGTTAACACCTATAAAGGAAACGTTGATGAAGACTTTTGGAGCATGGTAATTTACCAGGTTCCTTACGGTAGTGGAATGCCGACTCCTTGCTGGGATGGATGGGTATGCGCTTTGTTTCCGTATACTGAATCAAGATTTAAACTTACGAAAAATTCTATTGTTCCTTCTTCAATACCTTCCGGATTGGTGAACGTTCCATTTAAATTGAATATTGAGGAAGAGAATTTCAAATTGAGTTTCTCTGCGGGCTTTTTGGGTGCTAGACAGGATAAGATTAACGATGAGTATGTCGTTTCACCTGTTATTGGTTGGTACGTTACTGATGCCTAAAGTTCGAAATGTGTTATCATCATTGTATTCACATATGTAGCCATTTTTTTTAAAAATAAATTTACGTTTATCTTTTTTCTCTTTTTTGAAATATATTTTTACGCATATACTATATGTCCAACACATAAATTGAGCTTTGCTTGACATCTATTCAAGCATCGATTTCATTGTGCATGAAATGCCAATACATTGGAAATTCAGCGTTATAAAATGAGCGAAACTGGAGCACCGAATGAAATGAAAAAAAAAGTTAATATATATAAACTTAATAAGTTTTGTATTCACTAAATAATTTAATAATAATAATAAATTCAGGATGACCTACATAATATTTTTTTTTTTATATTTTGAATTTCAAATTTTGTACGACCTAATTTTTATTTTTTGACACGGTTTCCTAATTAGTCATCGTGGATTTTTCGTATATTTTAAAGTTTTAAATTACCAGTATATAAAAGCTATTTGAACGATATTAGTTGTTCTAAAGTATTTATTAACAATGTTATATTTCTAAAGGTTATTAGAATTAATTTATTTTCATTTGTGTGAAACTGGCTTTTAAATAAAAAAAGTTCATAATTTCAGATGATTTATTTACCAAGAAATTGCACCATCTATCTATATGTCATTCAATCAACTCTACACCGCTTATATACAATTGTTTTGTATTATCTGCCGAAACTTTTAAAATAGACTTTGCGTATTTGCGATTATCCACTCCACTCAACATCTCTTCCATCGAATCAAAGTTTTCTAAGAAAAATATTCGATTCCACAAGTTTGCCAATTTGTAACCACAGGTATTTTAATTTTTCGCTCGTTTAATATTTAATTTATTTCAAGGTATTCTGTCAACTATTTGAATTCTATCCTTATCTTATAGTCATCTATTTTATATAAACATATTCCGGTTAATTTTTTTGAAATCTAAGCTGTAGGATGATTTAAACTGACAATTCTACCAAGTTCGAGTTCATTTCGAAAGAATGCTGAAAATGGATTTAGGAATTATTCAAGTAACGATATATTGCCCATAATGCTCGTTTGTTAATTACCTCCTTTAGACCTGTTAAAATATATTCAATTACGTTTGTTCGGATTCGACTTCATAAATCATTTGAATTTTTATTATTAAATAGATTAACTTCAAAAAAAAAAAAAAAAATTATTTTTGCGCACAAAAAAAGAAGTGTGGTTTGAAGATCCTCTAAAAATAATAATAGTAAACGATAACAAAAATTAAAGATTAATATATGTATATATATCTCAATACATCAGTAATTGTCAACAAATTACATAGAGTTCTCTAACTAGTAAGGATTGTGGTACTAAATTTTAAAGTATGGAACCGGCACGCCAACAAGTTGGTAAATTACCAAATATTTGACATTAATTATAAAATCTTTTGATGCCAGAAGATTTCTTAAAATTGAATTTGAATTGGATTTGGTATTTGTATGAAAGATTGTTTTTAAAGTGTTCTACGTGACGTAAAAAAAAAAGGAAATTTCAAAATTTATCAACATTGTTCTACAGGAACAAAGGTGCGCGTATGAATTTTACGATATCAAATCATGTTAAAATTTAAAATACAGTGTTTTAAATTATTTGATAAAATAAAAAAAAGTGGCAAAAATGTTCAAACTTATATTTTGTTCTTGATTATAAATTTTACGAAAAAAATAAAAACTCATTTCTTCAAAAAACATTCTAGTAACGCCAGTATGGAACATTATTGCCGAACAGATATTTTCAAACTGAATTAAAAATACTTATTTAAAAATCGATGTTAGCCTATTCGATTTCGATTTCGATTTTAGAAACTATCTCAATCCTAGGACATGATATCATTAAAAATTTCGCACCGGAGGAATTACATTGTAACTTGACAAAGGATCGATATGGTATTATGAACAATTTTAAAATTCTACTTAATAATCTCACTTTAAGATAAAGAATAAATCAGCTATTTTCGAGTAATAAATTTCAATGCACGACACGAGTTCATTTTTGTTATATTTATAGAGATCTTTAGAAAATTTTGTTTGATGGTTATTATTTTTTTACTTGACATATTTGAAGAAGCTAAACGAAGACGTATTTTAATGAATCGAGAGATCAAAAAAATAAATATTGTTAAATTACTTTAATCAGTAACTATTCTTGCATTTCGTGTTGAATCACCATTGATAAATATGTTGCCGCAGCAATCACGTTTTTTAAAAAAAAAAGCCAAAAATAAATATCAAAATGCTTTAATATATGTAATCCACTAATTAAAATGATTTAAAATAATACTTATAACAACAATCCTTTAAAGGAAATTTATCAAGTCTGAGAGATACACCAAAGCAAAATATTAAATAGGGGCAAGCAATTATTTAATTGCATTAATTTTGATAATCTATTCGTATAGCTCTTAACATGAAATAGCGCCAAATAAGTGTTAAGTAATCTAAAAATAAATAGAAAAATAAAAAAGGAGAAGTAAGGAAAATAATTGTTTGATAGTTTTTCCATCATAAACCAAAGTTCAAAATTCGAAAATAGAGACGAAGTATTTTTGAATTCGATGCAACGGCAACTCCTAAAATAAGATTTGTGAATCGCGAATCAAGTTGCGCAGCATAAACTTTTTTTATGCAACAATACATTTTGTTTATGAAATACAAATTAAATTTATTCCCAAATTAAGGATGATAAAAAAATGAAAAGAATTTTCCTTTTAAAAATGATTTCTTTTCGAGCGAGAATTCATAAGTCTAGTCGATTAATCAATAAAAAAAAAAAAATAAAATAAAAAAATAATTTTTTTTTTTTTTTTTTTGCATTATTTGGAACTATGACTTTCAAAAATTATAAATTGGTAAACATTTTTATGTTGATCTATTTCTTTATTGGAGTTGAATCATTTGCCCCGACAGGACGTTTGGCACATTCGTCCGTTCTTGTTGAAAATAAACTTTATTTTTTTGGCGGCTTAAACGATGATAATAAGTGTTCAAACGAAGTATTCTATCTTGATGTATCGCAACCATTTATTTCGAAGACACTACCATGGACTGACCTTACGATAAATTCCGGAATACCAATCAAAAGTTGCTGGGGAACCGTTTCATCAAACGAAATGCAGAAAACAATATATTTATTTGGTGGATTCACGTATAACATAATGAAAGACGAAGATTCTTTTGTATCAAACGTCTATTCTTTTAATTTATATTCCTCGTCATGGAACATACCTAACATTAAAGGAGTTTCACCCGAAAGACGTCGATCCATAAGAAGTGTCATAGATAATTCCGGAAACATGTACATCTTTGGAGGAAGTACTTTATCTGCGCAGGAAACGGCATCATTTAACGAAATGATTACCTTGAATACGGTTGAATTATCATGGTCAATTAATACCCCAGCAAACGCTCCTAGCAAACGTGTTAGTTATACAGCAACACTATTATCCAATGGTTTTATTGCGTACATTGGCGGTTGGGAATTTACAGGGTCCGGAGTGGACATCAAACAGGTTTATCTCTATGACACGAATTCGCTAACCTGGTCTTTAAAGGTCTGTGTAACATCAAGCACAATCGATAATCGTGCTGGACATACGGCCATATTAAGTAATCATTATTTCTCGTTTTTTATTTTTATTTTTATTTTTTTTTTTATAAATTCTCAATTTTATGTTTAAAAAGCCCCAGAAGGTAAAATCATTATTCACGGAGGTTCTAAGATCATTGCAAACATATTCGACGCTTCGGCTACGCCAGAAATATTCGTTTTAAATATGGAAGCAGAACAATTTGAATTTAGTGAACCACCGATTGTATCAAATATTGGTAAAGTTCCTACGCTAACATATCATACGTCTAATCTGGTTGGAAACTATATGATTGTAGCTTTTGGTAAGTTTCGGTGATGAATTTATTGAAATAACTCAAAATATTTAATTACTTTTTTTTTATATTTATTTATGATAGGAAATATCACACAACCAAATTCCGAACCATTGGCATCAAAGAATCCCTATATTTATTTAATGGATATTAGAAATTTTACGTGGGTGAATTCATTTCAACCAACAAGAACGAATACAAAGGAAACAACAGGAAATGAAACAGGAGCAAAATCAACAAACTTTCCAATTATCATTATAATCTATTCAGTTACTGGAACTTTAGGTGCTGCGATGATTGTGGTATCCGTAATTTTTATTTACAGACGCATGCGCACACGTAATAGTAATAATAAACGCAATAGTGTTGGTCATATGGTTCCTGAACAGGTAGAATTTGATAATTCTGGTAAAATTGAAGAACAACATAATTTACCTGGTCAAGCTGTTCCATTATAATCTTCGAAACCAATTTATTACTTAAATGAATTTAACCCGTGTACGCTTTAATATAAAAATGAGAAAAAGTAGAATAATAATAAGTAATATGTATCTACTAATAATAATTTATTTTTAACTTTTATTTTATTTTGATTTTTTTTTTTTTACGGTTCTCCTGTGTAATTTTTTCTTCCTATAAGAATATCAAAATTTTTATTTAATACCGTAGCAACTAATCTCGTCCAGCAGAAATAGAGATAAAATGAATACTTGCATTATTATCAGAAGTACTGCCATTGTTATAGCCCAAATTTGTGGTGATTTTTCAGGATTGACAATTATATAACATTTTTTATGGAATATTTCCAATAATGTATTGAGTAAATTTAAAGATATATTATTTAGTCAAGAAAATATTCAAGGCATGATAAAGATAATAATTCCTATAACCACTAAATAATGAACAAGCATACTTAAGGCAGTGTTGGCATTTGGCCGTTTGGCCGTGGCCAAAATGGCCAAATTTTATTTTAAGTTTGGCCGGCCAAAAATTTTATTTTATATAATAGTTCACAAATGAAACAGAAATATAATTGGTTAATTGCAAAAAAAAATTTGACGCCTCCGACGTTCGGGACGTTAAAAATTGCAAAAATTAACGCTTCTGGCGTTCGGAACGTTCTATTTTGCAAGAATTTTAACGTCCCGAACGTCGGAGGCGTCAATTTTTGCAATTTTGAACATCTCGAACGTCGAAGGCGTCAATTTTTTTGCTATTTTGCAAGAAATTTGAACGTACTGAACGTTGGAGACATTTGCTAATAAACCGCGGCCAAAATTGACAAAGTCATGTGACATTTGGCCGATTTGGCCGATTGGCGATTTGGCCGCTGATTTTGGCCGATCGGCCAAATCGGCCAAAAAATTAGGCGGCCAAATGCCAACTATAACTTAAGGTCACACGAAAACTTTAAAATTTGTAACTTTGGTAAGAGTATTGATTTTATTAAATTTGTTAAAATTATATTTCACTTCATCTCCAATTCATTATAAATTCAAAGAATTTATGTATAAATGAAGTTACATTATTGACAATGGGCCTAAAAAAAAAAAAAATTTAAAATGCGAACAAAAATATATATACTGTATATACAAGCTACTTAGGTTGAAATGGTCTAAGTTCTATTATTCCTTTAACCGTATGACTTATGAGCACAAATTATTTGTCAATTGTTATTATTATGCGTAAAAAGTTAATCCATAGAAAAAAGGAAATGAACCAAAAAATGTTTTTCTGTATTTTTATATATAAAAATCGAAGCGTCATGTGATCTGGTTAGTAGTGGCTTACCCATCTTTAAAATAAGCTTTGACAAATCTTTTTTTATTTATTTTTTTATTTATTTTTTTTTTTTAGCAAATTTATCCTCTAAAAAAACAAACTGTCTTAAATAAATACCGGTAACGATATGTGACACACTATAAATTTCAATCATGGTATATCTGCAATAAATTATTTACCAAATTATTACTTTTTTTTCTTATTTATTTCTTTTTAGTTCGTTTTCTCCTCACCATATCCAATATTGTCTTATTTATTAACATTTCTTTACCGTGAAAACACTTCATTACATTAAATCAGGAATACGGTAACTGTCAAGTTAAAATTTTTCCGGTTCATTGTGAATTTTTTTCTTAATCATTTTAAATTAAATTTGTGAAGATTGACTTGATTAAATTTGTAATCAATCCAAAAAATATACTTTAAAAGTTAAATATAAAGATGAAAGTTACTTTACCTTTTCTCCCTACCGACTTCCGAGGTTTAACCTGCGGAGATTGATGATGGGTTTCTTGCTGGTGGTACTGCGGGGCGGTATAATGAATTTCTTTACATTGTCTTCAAAAAGCAAAAATAATTGAATGCATATAACTACAGTTCTTGTTCTCATATTTTCTTAATTAATAAAGTTGTTTTAACATGACCTAATTGTTAACTTATTATGAAGTCAACCATGAGGGCTTCATTCAACGTCGACATTGACATTGATATCCTTGTAAAGAAAAATATTTCATCACTTTGCAAACTATTTCGATAAGATTAATCATGTACTGACGGTCCTTTTTTTTGCATGTTTATAAATCTTGAAACTTTTATAAGTCGTTTTTTAACTGAACTGGCCAATAAAGTTTTGTTTACAATTATTATCGTTATTTACGAAAATTTAATTACCATTTTTTAGAAATATTCAATTTCAGACCATATAAGGCGCTTGCTTCGAAAAAACCAAAATTTTGTTTATAAGTAAAATATTTTTATATTCATTAAATAAATCCAGATTTTAAAATAAAAGTTAACACAAAAAAAAATTTTTTTATTTGGTTTCGAACCTTTCTATTGCAAAGAGCCCATATGTTTAATTAAATAATTTCTTTATAAATTTTATATATATCAAATTTTAAGATTTTTTTTTATGTTAAAAATTTCGGATCAATCATTTTGTATGAATAACTAAGAAACAAAAAATTTAAATGAATAATTAATGGGTGGGTTTGTAAATATACAATTTTCAAAATAAAATTTTGAATAGGAATAAAGATAACGAGGATAGCTTTACATCCAATACAATTCCGCCCGAAAGATGATTTTCGACCAGGCCGTTAATTTTTTTTTTTGGGAAATCCAACAGCCACGGTCGCCCTTCTTACATTGCATACGTACATCTAGGGGTGGTAACGGTCTGTTGCGGTCGGTCAACGGTCGGTCGAAGTCTTTTGACCGACCGACCGGTTTAACTTACCGATTTTTACTGACCGGTTAATAGTAATATACAGTAATTGAGCAGTTTTGGCTTAATAGAAAGTTTGATATTATAATTTTGATTCTTGCTTTAGCAATTCTAGCATTGCATTTTTTAAAACTACTTTGTCATTTTTAAATTTTAATTTATAGTTAATTAAAATAAAATGTTGATTTTTGTTAATTTAATACAGTGTTTTTTACTAATTAAAACAAGTCAACCGGTCGGTCAAAATCTGTCAGAATCGGTCAGTCAACCGACCGGTCGGTCGCGGTTATGACCGGTTATGACCAGGCATGACCGTGACCATTAGCATCACTACTTCCTTTTCGATATTTTCGCTTTCGCCATTTTAACATCATAAATTTTAAATTGTAGCCGACGTTGAGGCAACACTGTTTAATTGATATTATTAAATAAATTCATCGTCATAATTTTTCTTTAATTAAATCCTTTTGCTTACAAATACAAATTATTTATAAATACATAAACGAAAGAACTGAATACAACAATAGATAATAGGAAGAAAAATTAAAAATTTTTGAGCATACAAAAACTATTATAAATCTCATAAAAGCAGGAATCTAGTTTCAATAATTACAAAAGCAGCAACGATCAACATAAATACTGTATCAATGCCTAGTTTTGTACAAATTGTCAGCTGATGATTTTGTAATACCCAAGTTTCGTATAAATCATTTCGTAATTAAAGAATCGAAGAAAATAACGTTATGGCTGCAAGAATTGGAATTGGTTTGGAAAAATTAAACAATAAAATTGACGAATCTATTAAAAGAAAATGAGAGTCTTAAACAACAACATAAAGTCATTCAAGAAGAAAATCGAGAAACTTTACGTATTAATGCTGAATTGAAAGAAAAACTTCAAGAAAAAGATAAGCAATTGGAAAAGCTTCAACAAAAAGTTCTAAATTTGGAAAATCAAAAAAAAGAGTTTGAAATAATTTCTCAAACGTTAGAAAAATCTCTAGAAATGTTTGGATTAGACGATGTTAATGAGAATAACAATAATATTCTTGAAGAAAAAAATAAGCCTTTTCTTGGAGAAGAAAATAACAAAGAAACAATAAAATTTCCTTTAAACAATAATGATAGTATTCAACTTGCAAAAAATACCTCTGAACATTCGTGGAGCTCTTATAATATAGGTATGTAGTAACATATAGAAGAATTGATTGAATACAAATTTATCATGTTAAAAACTGAACTTAATTCATCTCATAAATTTTGAAGATAACATTCGAATCGTGGTTGGATTAGACTTTGGAACAACTTACTCCGGATTTGCTTATTGCCATGTTAAAGGTTCACAAATAATTTGTCATGAATGGGATTCTCATTTCAAAACTTGTACAGCTCTTAAATACGATGATGAATATAATAAAGTAATATCTTGGGGCTTTCCAGCTAAATTTAGAAGACCAAATCGACGAAATAAAAATGATAATAAGCCGGTTGAACTGTTTAAATTACATTTGAGTGATATACCAGATGAACTTAAACCGAAGTTTCCAGTTGGATATGAAAAGGCTATTACTGATTATCTTAGAGAAATTGGACAGGTATTATCAAAAAAATAATCAAAATAATTAGTATGTTATTAATTTTAATTTCTTGAATGAAATGTTTAAGGTGATTAAAGATGACATTTCAAGAACCTGGAGTTCTTTAAATTTTTATAATGATGTATTATTAGTTCTTACGTGTCCCGCTGAATATTCGGAAAATGCAAGGTCGATTATGAGAGAATGTGTATATAATGCAGGGTTGATTGTAGATAAATGTTCTAGTAAATTGCAATTGGTTACAGAAGGTGAGAACATTCGCTATTGATAACTTTATTCTCTTAATTTTTATTTCTAATTTAATATGATCATTACTAGATGAAGCTGCTGCAATTTATTGCATGAACCAGCTTCGAGAATATGAATTTGAAACAGGAAGTATGTTAAAAATTATATCTAGTAATATTAATTATATTTTAATTTAAAATTTCCAATCAAAATAAATTACAGCAAATTTCATGGTTGTCGACTGTGGTGGTGACACAGTAGATCTGACTACTCGTAAATTGATTAATAGAAATCAATTAGGTGAAATCACTGAAAGATCTGGCGATTTCTGTGGAAGCAATTATATTGATAGAGAATTTATCATGTATTTAAGTAGAAAGGTTGGGTATAATGCTATGGAAATGCTCAGAAAAAACCATTATGGACAAATGCAATATTTAATTCAAGGATTTATTAACCAATGTAAATTGCCTTTTACGGGAGAAAACAAATACTTTAATACTTGTGAATTTGATCTTGAAGAATTTGCTCCTGAGATAAAACAATACATTACCGATGAGAATAGAAAACATTTGGAAGAAGAGGAATGGATGATTGAAGTTTACTTTAATGACATAAAATCAATGTTTGATCCTGTTGTTAAAAATGTTTTACAGTTGATTCATGCACAACTTAATAGTTCACCTGAAACATGTTCGGCGATGTTTTTAGTTGGAGGTTTTAGTGAATCAAAATATTTACAAAAGAGAATTAAACAAGAATTTCAACATAGAGTACGTATCATTTTATTTCCTAGTATTCCTACGATTGTAATTGAACATGGAGCTGTGATATATGGATTATCTTCTATAAATTCAGATTCAGATGTTATTGCCTCAAGAATTATTAAATTTAAATATACTTATGGTGTTAAAGTAAGCGAATGCTGGGTAAGTAATTAATCATATCATAACATAAATTTTAATATGCTCACTCATATTTTACATTTAATTTAGACGAAAGACGATCCAATTCAAAGAAAAGTCAATGGACGCATTGATAAATTTGATTGTTTGGTTAAGCGTGGTACTCCAATTAATGTTAATCAAGAAATTACGTGTTCTTATTTACCAGTTTATCCTACTCAAACAAAAGTAGTTTTTTATCTATATTGTACTAAAGAGTATGGAGCAAAATATTGTGATGAGCCTGGTATGAACCTTTTAGGAAAGCATACCATGGATCTTTCTGTCTCAGGTCTCGATAAACTTTCTTTCGGGTTGACTTTTGGACAAATAGAAGTTATCGCCATTGTAAAAAATGAAAATAACAAAAAAATATCCAAGACTAAATTTGAATTCTACGTCTAATTAATAATTATAAATATTTTGGCTGATGAACATTAATTTTTATTTAGAGCGCTATTATTTTATATCAAATTTTATTTAAAGTTCTCATTATACATAATAAATCGTTATACCTTAAATCGTTTAAAAATATTAATTAGAGAAAATTCCGTTGTTTCTAATTTCATGAGTCTTTTGCAAGTAAAATCAAATTACGTAATGTTTTTTTTTTACTAATAAAAGTGGTAATAATATTAAAATGATTTCATATCCATTCGAAAATACCTTTATTTCTAATGCGATCACTTTGGTTGCAATTTACAAGCATCAGATGCTCGTACAACTTTCCCATTATCTTCATTCAATAAGGAGATTTGGTAAGTAACCCGGTTTAAAAAAGCGCGTTAGAAACTTTATCACGACCTACTTTGAAATCCCTGAATGTTGTAGTGTCATTTCCCGATTGCCGCCGTATCAGAAATCTGTCTTGCAACTAAATGACTATATATCTAAAAACCTCATATACTGGGTCACCAATGGTTTTTCTTTTCATGAGTACGAGATAAAGAACCCGAAGTGCTGCGACCAAATTCAATAGCATTAACTAATACTTCAACTAACAGTTAAAAAGAATTTCGTCTTCTGCAAATGGCATTGTATCAACAATTTTATATAATAATTCTGGTGAATAATTATTTTTGCAATTCTTTTCTAAGGTATTCCTAAGTCTTCAAAATAAAATTTTGAATATCCGGTAATCCGCAACAGATTCTCGTTTAACTACTTCTGTATAGTACAAATTAATAAATTCATCATAAACGTAATATAAATTTTAATAATCGGCCGGGGTAGAATTGCTAGTAATAAACAATAAAATCAATAATAAAAAAAAAAATTCTGTCACGCACCTGTCTGCGCTGCCGTGAAGAGCCGAAGGGTGCCGCACCCACGTTTATCCGAAAGGGCGGAATCGGTCCAACCAAAATCAAAAAAAAAGCCATTAGATTTTGATTAATAATCAAAAAAAAATAAGTAAAATAATAAAAAAAGTTACCAACTTTCTGCGCCACCGTGACAAACCAAAGTGGCGAATCTACCGATCTAACCTATATAATCATAAATTAAAAAAAAAATAAATCAAATTATTAATTTAAATATCAACAATAGGAATAGACAATACATAATATTAGAAAAAACACCAATAAAAACAATTTCATCAAGCCGCCACGACAGATCCAAATCATTTTTTTTTTTTAAAAACAAAATATATATATTTAAACAACCTTTATTCCTTGAGGTAGATTCCTCCTCTACCTTATTTAGTGTTAGAATAAGGTAATAAGATATATAATAATGGCCGGTCGTTTGCGTTACACGAATCGCCTAAAAAGGAAGTTATTTGTCGCTCAAAGGCCCAGAAAACCGGTTCACACTAATAAAATCACACTAAATTTGTTTTAACATACACATCCTATCAATTTTTTTTAAAAATAATTGGCGAAATCTCTTTTAACATTTTTAACATCACTAAATAAATACATATGTAATTGTCTTAGATTTATATTACAAAATGGAAACTTAATATTGAAACTAAAAAATTTATAATATAAAATTAATTAAATATTCTTTTTGAAAGTGTCGAGCGGTATAAAATAAATGATGAAGTCATTTAATCTTATGATGGATAAATTTTTTAACATGCGTCTTTACCACGATGAAAATCATGATAATGGTTTGGATTAAGAAAATTGTTCAACTTAGGAAAATAGATAAATAACTTCATGCGATATTTAACGCATTCAGTAAGTTGAATATTCTGCATTTATTACCTACTGCGAGGTTTCTACAAAATCATTTAAGTTTACATAGCAATCGGAAACATCCTTATTATAATGGTTGAAATATTCTTCTGGAAAGCGGATGACTAAAATAATTATTAGGCTCGTTAATTGGAATAGGTATAACAAAGCTTTTGGCTAAAATTTATTGTCTAGTTCACATATACAAAAGCAGTTTGCCGAATGTGCCATCTTACTAAACATTTTCGTACAATTGTAAAGTTCAGGTGGAAGCTATTACATATATTGTTAGTTGACTTTATTCCCGTGACCATGCACGCAGTTTACACTAATATCTGATATACTACATGATTTATTATTTAAAACGACTAATTTATTTTGATTACGCTAAAAGGAGGTTGATTTAATTTGTTTATTAATTTTTTTTCACAGAAATTTAAGTTTGCCTTTTAAATATGACCGACGAAATACGACCTGACCCTTAAATAGTTAGTTTTTTGGACAAATGAATTAACTTACACTACCTAGACAAAAGTGGGCGGACCTTTATTTTTTTATTAATTGCTCAAAAACGTACATAATAACTGTAGTCAAAATTTAAACTATTATTAGTTTAACTATATATAAAACTAATATTTAGTTGGACCAGCCATTATTATTAATACACGCCTCTATCCTGCACTGCATACTTTTTATTAAATGTATTAAAGTGTTCTTCGGAATTTTATTCCATTCTTCATGCAAAGCACGCTCCAATTCCTTCATATTTTTTGCAGGTCTGGGACGATTTCTAATACGCCTTTCCAGCTCTGACCATAAGTGTTCAATTGGATTCAAGTCAGGTGACTGACTTGGCCAATTTTCCAAAATTTTGACTTTTTTTGTTTCCATCCATTTTTTAACATTTTTTGCGGTGTGAACTGGGGCATTATCATCTTGGAATAAATAATTTCGTCCATTAAAATTATTGTTGATTAATGGTAATAAATGTTTTTCAAGTATTTGAATATAATCACTATGGTTCATTTTTCCATCAACCTTTACTAGCGGTCCCAATCCTTTTCCAGAAAAACAACCCCACATCATTATGCCTCCACCACCATGTTTTATTGAAGGAACCATATTGCTGATATTGAATCTTGTTCCAGGAGTTCTCCAAACACGCCCTGGACCATCATTTTTAAATATTGTAAAGCGGCTTTCATCGCTCCAAATGACTGACTTCCATTTATTAATGGACCAATCTTTTTTTTCAATACACCAGTTTAATCGATTTTCTTTTTGTTTATCGCTAAGAAGAGGTTTAGATGCTGGAATACGAGAAAAAATATTAAGTTCATGCAAATTTCTTCTTATAGTTCGAGTGGAAACTTACATTTCAGTTTTCTCCTGAAATTTGTTCTTTATTTGTTCAGCCGACTGATGATTATTTTTTTTAACGTTTTTTAGTGTTTTTTTGGTATTCATTATTTAAAAGTTTTGGGCAGCCATTTTGTGGCTGTGTTTTAAGACTTTTTCCTTCACAATAAAGTTGAATAGTTCGGTAAACTGTAAAACCAAGTATTTTAATAATGTATGCTTTTGTGGCACCACCCTTAAAAAGGCCAATAATTTGGTTGCGTACAGCCTCAGTTAAATCGGTCATAATGTAAAGTAGTATAAGTTCCAATTTTGTCAATCACGTTTTAAATTTATTTATAAAAAAAGTAATGTTTACATCATTATTTACATGGATCATAAGCTGTCACATGTTAAAATTTCAGCCAAAATTATTATATATATTTCTGAGAAACACGTCAAAATATAGGGTTTGCGCACTTTTATCTAGGTAGTGTATATGATCAAAGCGCAATTATATATATTTACATATTCGTCGCACTTGTTTATATAGATCAACAAGTAAATTTTGAACAAAACAATGAGTTTAAAACATTTTATGTTTTTGAATTGAAATATACAATTATTAATTATTTATAATTATACAAATTATATATAAAACTTTGATTTGACTATTATCTTATTTTATGATCTTTGACTTTACCAAAATTACAATTTACCGTTTTTAATCACTATAAAGAGGGTGGTTTACTTTTTCAAATTACAAAAAATAAATATAAATTAATAATAAAAAATATATATACATATTATTAATAATGAAAAACCTAAAAAAAAAAAAAAAATTTAATTTTATATTTTATCTCTTCAATTTTATTTTTTGTTATCCATAAGGTCGTCTTAGTAATTTAATGTATCCATAATATTTAAAAAGGGATGATAATCGCTTAAAAAATTTGACATCACCTGATTTCAAAATACAAGAATTAATTCAAAAAAAGATACAATTATACCTAATTTCTTATGTGGGGTGTTTAATGGATAATCTTTATACAGTGACTTTCATAATTATTGTATCACTTCATTTATAATTTTTAGATTGTAATAAATAAAAATTCAATGATCGAACGATTTGCAGATTTAATTAATGTATCGTCTGAGTGTTCTTTTATAATATTTTCAAATTTAAATTTCTTTTTATTTATAATTTTAAAAAAAATTCTTTCATAACCATAAATTTTATAGTACAATACTTCTGGTGCATATAAAAATAAAATCAAAAACATAAATTTTTCAAACTTTTTAACAAACTATGCTCTAATTTTTTTTAACAAAACTATCACCATCTCGTATATCCCTCATTAGTCTTAAGTACATCTTTAACTCGTTATGGCATAGTATCAATTAGCTTTAAACAAAAATAAGTATCAATTTGATTCCATACTAATTGTATCTTATTCTACAAATCTTCTACACATGTAATATTATCAGGAAGTTGTCACAAATGATGATCAATTTCATTTCACAAATGTTCAATAGGGTTTTAGTCCGATGATTGTGCTAGTCAATCTAAAATTTTATTATTATTGTCATCAAACCACTTGTATGTTTTCTTTGCTGTATATTTTGGGTCATTATCCTGTTAGAAAATGACATCATTTACATTTAAATTATATGCGCTAAGGGTCCCTAAAAACTCATCTCCCAAAATTTCTCTATATAACTCTCCATCCATTCTTCCATCAATTTTACAATACTTTCCAATGTCAAACGAACCCATACAACCCCATATCATTACAGAACTCCCACCAAACTTTACAGTTAGTTTATTATGCTGTTGCAAAGGTAAATTTGAATCTTTTCAACACTACTCCCTCTTATCTGAGCAAA